AAAAGGTGACTGAGGTGGAATTTGGAAAAACGAGGCGGTTCCCAAAGGGGTGAGAGCACGAGGCTCATTTCCCTGCTCCAGAAGTTTGCTCAGTCTGTCACTGCAGTTAGACCTAGATTCTCCGGGTGATACCAGAAAACTAGGGTTGGGCGACAAAGGAAATGAGAGCAGTGAGTTCAGAGCTCCAGACCTGGCAGGGTGGCAGGGAGCAGAACTTCACCACCTTTTAGACACATTTCTGTTTCCCCACCTCTGTCTTCAGGCCCCACCTCTCCTCCGTCCTTACCTTGGGAAACTGGTAGGTGATGCTGGGTTCATAGTCATCCCCTGAACGCTTTTTCTTTAAAGAAACAACAAGAAGGTATTCAAAGAAGTGCTGGCCTCCAGCAAAGTTAGACAGGGAAAGTTCCTGGGTCCTTTCTGGTTCTATGGCAGCTTCCCCAGTATTGTTCTGAGACGGTCCTAAAACGGAAATGCAAGCGTCCCCTGAGTATTCCATTCCTCCATTCTGTAGGCTGTGTGAGAACCTGGGCAAGCTGCAGGCCTCAAGGCCACGTTGCCAGTGCTGATACCCAAGCCTGACCAGGCACCACGAGTCACTGGGTGGGACCAGAGCCAAGTGGGCAGTTTCCACACCTGTCCTGGAAAACCTGAAACTGTGGAGTGACACAGGGAGGAAAGAAAACAGTGCGGTAGAAACTGAGGAGCCATGTTGTGTAGGTGCTTGGGGGCCTGATGACTGAAGCTGTACTTCTGCCTACCATAGCAGCTCTGGTAGTATTTCAAGCACCCTGAGGAAATTTGTTCTAAATAATCAGATGAGCCCCGAGGGCATTTTCTTATGGCCATTCCAAGAGCTGCACAGGAGACATGACCAGCTCTGCAAACTGATAAGGTAATCCTCTCGGTCCGATCACATGGGGGCCATGTGGATTTTGGCATGCAAAGGAAAAAGAAGGAGGAGCACTCCAGGAGGAAACAGCCCATAAGAGGATCACCCCAAAAAGGAAGTAGGCAATCCAGTTCTGACCTGCTCGAAGTCGTGGCAAGCGATTTCGGAGCAGCCTGAGGGTTCGGCCTACCCCTTGTCCTTCCATCGCTCTGGGCTTTGGGGCATGAAAGTTCTTTCTCCTGCAGGCTGGCCACAGGGAGCCTGAGAAAGAGCCTTCTGCTTAGATCTCCAATTACAGCTTAACTAAGCTGAACCATGCGCTGTCTCCCAAAGGCAGAGAGCAGTTTCCATCCTGTGTACTCCGTAGTTGAGCAAGAAGGATGTGAAAGGACCCACGATGCAGCTTAACATGGGCACTGACAGAGGCAGCATCCTGGCACTACAGCTCAGCTCTTGGCTCCTCCCAGGAGCCCCAGGGTGTGGTAAGAGAAAAGGTCATGAGCAAACATCTCAAGGCACGGCTGCTTCTGGACTAAGAGCTTTGAATTCCGGTGCCGCCGACCATGTGGTGAGTATTTACGACCTTAGGCAGTGAGAGATGCTTGGAAAAACCAGACCATGGGCTCCAGCCCCTCTGGGATCTCAGCATGGGTACTTTACATCCCGTATCTTTGGTCGTTCTCTCAAGTTGCTTTCTCAAGTTGCTCATCAGAAACTGCAAAGTCCCACCAGGCCAACTGACGAATTCTGAAAGAGGCCTTCAGGATCTCAACCAAGAACACAGGACTGAACACTTCCTGCAACCAAGATGCCACCGCCTTACCCTGATCAGATAAGTAGTCTTGTCCAATTCTCTAAGTAACTTCTAGCAAGAGAGTGAGTCTCTCAACAGACCCCATGGGTTCGCTCCTGACAGCGAAGTAAAGAAAAAAGCCCACCTCTGAGAGTTCCTGATATTGACGGAATAACTACAAAGGTAAGGTCCTTACTCCCCGTAACATGTTTTAGTCTAAGGCAGGGAACTTTTTCATTGGGACTATTCCAAGACTCCAGCAGATTCCTTCTTTCTCACGGAAGCACTGACTCAGGAAATTGTCCCTAGCCTAGAGAAAGGGACTGGTTTCATCAGCAACAATGCGGATATAGTGCATCCTCACTCCTCCTGGACTCCTGCTTAGTCTTTCCCCTGGTTGGGCCAGGTCAACATTCTAAACTGCAGACCCAGTGTTGTGTCTAAAGGTTGAGGAAGGGGGAAAGTAGCTATTGATAACCCAGGTTTCTCACAGAAAGTCCTGAATAAGGAAATGCATGGGATAAGAGGAAAGAGCCCTTGCCAGGAAGTTGCTTAATGGGGAGGGAGGAAGCAAAGTGATCTGGTGCCTGTGTCTGCCACTCCTGCAAAGAATTAGCAATCCTCTGGGAGGGGGTGTGTTGTTATGGTCAGAAGACTGTCCCTCTGCTTCTAAGAGCTCTAGAACTTGACTTTCATGGCACCAGGAAAAGTGGGGACTCGGAGGTTCAAAGTTGACTTGTTGGAGAAGCCCCAAACATTGTAAATAGGATTAGAGCTGGAACAGTGTGAGGGATGAACCAGGACACCCCAGGCAGTCACGTATCTTTCTTGTACGCTGTATAGACATGTTACATAATCTTTATAGGGTGTCTTAAGGAACAAGCACCCACCTGAAACAGAAGGGAAAACTGAGGAATCAAGTCACTTGGGTGATTTAAAATGAACAGGATCTGTAGAAGATGAGAATTACAAGGGTTTCAAATCCAAGCTCAGGCCTTCTGGTGTATTACACAGCCAGCCTCACATGGGGTGTGTATGTGTGTGTGTGTGTGTGTGTGTGTGTGTGTGTGCGTGTGTATGTGTGTGTGTATATATATGTGTGTGTGTATGTGTGTGTGTGTGTGTGTGTTGGAAGGGGAGCAGTAAGCAAATGGTGTGGACAGCCAGAATCATCTTCCCGGTCATCCCAGAACCTCAGGAAATAGGTCTTTTCCTAAGTCCTTGGGGCAGCATTTTCATGCCGTTTCCTCCTGCTTTATCAGGAGAAAGCAGGGAACAGCAAAGGCAGAAATCCTAGACCAAAGAAAAGTAACTAGACTTTTTGGGCTGAGGCTCAAGAGGGCCAATAAAAGAGTGTTTTCTCCTCCCTCTTTCGGAAACGGTTGTCACAGAAAAGCATGAGAAGAACTAATTTGCATCAAACTCGTGCATACTATATCGCATCTCACTTAATCCCTCATGCCTGGGAATGAATTCTTATCCTCATTTTTAACTGAGAGAGGAGCCACCCTCTAAGGAAGTCAAGAGTCTGGTTACACTAGTTCCTCCACCAGAAAGCCCCGCCCACAACCACCTGAAGGCAAGGGGACTTTGGGGAACCTTGATCTGAATAGCTGTTGTTTGTTCTTTGGTGAGCTGCTAGCTGCTAGCAACCCAGAACCACCACAGCAGTCTTCCCTACTAGTGTTTTACACACGCACTCACGCACGCGCCCACCGACAGCCCTCTGAGAAACAACTGCTTGAGCCAGGAGGGGAAATCCCCCAGGAAGTAGAAGGATAGCAAGAAAGTTGAAAAAGTCACACCCATATGATCTGACAGGTGCTAAACTTGTGAACAGGCACATATAGATGGGCCCGTCTTCCTGTTCTTCAACCACAAGCCCCCCACCCTCACCCCGTACCACTGCTACCTTTATGCTGTAAGGGTCGGGTGGCAGAAGATTACCCGGGTCTAGGAAGCCCAAGAAAACCAAGCCAGAACTCTGCAGAAAAATTTAAAAAAAAAAAAAGGTCACATCTCCTCCCCACATTCTACTGCTCCAGCAGCTGCAGACCCCTCCCTTGCATGAGAGGAAAGAGGCACGTGCCAAAACAACCACAGCTGGAGCAGAAGTGAGGGTGGGAGAAGTGAGAAAGGACAAAGAGCAGATCAGTCACAAGTCACTGCAGATCCGAGAAGGAAGTACTGACCTCAAGTGCCGGGCCTGTTACGAGAGAGGTCCACCGACCACTTCACTTGCAAATACTGGAAGGGGTGAACTCTTGGGATGACCCCTACAAATCTTTTTGGCCTCTTTTCAGAACCACAGGCTCTGAACCAACTCAGGGGTGGCAGTTCAACAATAGCACTGGCCAGTCATAAACAACAGATGTTTGCTGGATGAATGGACACATTAATGAATCCTAATTGCCCTTCTTCCAAACCCCAGGGCACCAGATACGAAGAAAGGAAACTGACAAGATCTTGTCATTTCATTCCTTCCATCCACTCTGAACAGGGAAACGCTTCCTATCTCACTGGTCAGAACTCAAGGTCAGGGTTGAGAAAACAGCTGGGTTGATAGTACCTAGTCTTTACCTTCCTCCACCTCCCCCAAACCCCGCGCCTTGGCCAGTCTTAAGGTCTTGGGGAGCCAGTTTTGTGGTGCGGTTATCAGCAAGGACAAGCTGGCTCCCAGGAACTGAACAAACGCCAATCCAGTCCTAGGCAGCTAACTAAGAAGGGAAGCTAAGCGGCTCCCGGAGGGCTTGGCAGCCCAAACTCTAGCATAAAGTGGCTGCACTACAAGCTTCCTGGATGGAAGGACACGTGGCCCACAACCCAGAGCCCCACAACCCTTGCCGGTTCCTAGTCACCCGCTCCCCCTCAACCCAACAGGTCTGTCCACTCGCTGATCTCTACCTGCTCTCTTGAGTTCACCTGCCTCCTGCCTAGCCCTCCCAGATCCCGCCCAAATTGCTCCTCGATCTTGTCCCTCGGTGCCGTACTGAGTGTACAGTCCTGCAGCCCAGGTCCCCACGCCCTCTTCCCCGCGCGCCGTGACCCGCACTAACCCCCGCGGCCGCGCTTCAGTCTCAGGCTGGCTCGGAGGCGGCGGCCGAGCCCATCCATGGCCCCTCCAGTGCCCGGCGCCGGCTCCCACGTCCGCACCGGCCCCGCCCCCCAATCCTTGACCTGTGCTGGGGCCCCCTGGAACTTTCACTTTCACGCGGGAGGCGCGGGGAGGGGGGGACTGGGGCGGGGCAGCGCACCTTCCGGGCTCCTGCCCAGCGCCTGGTGCACCTGGCCTGGCCGCGCTTCCCTGGTCCCCACCCTACCCCACTGCGCGTCAAGGTCTGGGGTGACAGAGGGCGCTAGACAGCGAGTCCGGGAGGGGCGGTGCCACCACACTGCAATCCTCTGTGAAACTCTACTTTCAAAAACACAGTGATAGGTGCCTGAAGAGACCCTTACCTCCAGTGCAAGAACTGGGAGATGCACCTCCCAGCTGTTTCCAAACTAACCAGAGAAGGTGAAGAATTCTCAGACCTTACTCCCTTCCAGCTAAATGTCTGTCTTTGCAAATCTTTTAGGAGCTGGCTACCTCCAGTTCTCTTCCTTTGTCATCTCTTCCTAGAGAAGGAACTGGAGAGGTGGGTTAAGGTAAGGACCCTACCTTCCATTCGACCATTCGACGTTGCTAGTCCACAGATCAACAAAATGAGGATACTAGGAGCCTGGGTGCTGTGTGAAGATCAGATTGTGATTGTCTAGGTTTAGGAAACCTTTTGAAACCTGTTCTGTGATACAAATGTAAAGGATTCCTATTGTCAACATTGTAACTATTTCCACTCCTCTTTTGAGGCCAATGCAGCTGCAGCCCAGCCTTTCCTTCTCTCCTCACCTTCAATGACTTCTAGATAGGCCCAGACTTAAACAGGTTCCTGTGATAAGCACCCCTTGGGGTTTCAGTGGTGCATCCTCTCTTCTTCCAGGATAGTACAGGTAAGAGAGGGACAGGGAGAGTCAGTTTGAACTTTCTGTGTCCACCATGGTCTTTCTTACCTTGATTTCAGGAATAAAGGGCAAAAGGAAATGAAGATTAAAAAAAAAATGTCTGGGATCCACAGTCCTCTTCAGTCACTCCATGTCTTGTCCCAGGTGACTCCACATTCCTCAGCTTTTCAGTTCAGAAGGAATTGGACAGCCAGCCTTGGCATTAAATTGACTACTCTGGACAGAGGGTCTTTGAGTTGCCTTTACTCTGGGAGCAAGCAACTTGCACTTAATTATATAGTTTATTTCTGTTTCCTATCCCTCGGATCCTTGCATGAGAGAACATGAAAGGACATGGCTGTCCCCAAATTCCTTCTCTTATGAGACCCACATCTTATATATCTCTCACAAAAGAAGAAGTTGTTTATGTAAACCTTGTGCAATTTATTGACGTTATTCTGTCTTAATTGGGCCAAACGGTGTTTTCTTCCTTTATAAACAGATGATTAAGAATACATGGGCACCAAGAGGACAAGAAGATTAATGGGAACTGTATTTGAAGCAGCCATAATGTGGAAACAACCTCCAATGTTCATTAACAGAAAAAAAAGGGCGAATCGCGGCAAAAGTATACAATTGTGTCTTGTGTAGCATTAAAAGCAAATAAGCCTCTGTTGCACACAATACATTGCCCATACTGTGCAAATATGATTTTTTAGCAAGAGTTACCAGACACAGAATAGATATGCTTCAATTTACATAAAATTCAAAACTAACCTATTGTGTGGGCAGTCAGGATGATGCCTCCTTTAGGGAAAAAGTAGGAAATAATGACTGGGGGATACCATGCGATCTCTGGTGGGGGATGGAAACAGTTGACCAGTATACTCCTACTGTGATGATAAAGCCACCTACTAGGTGGTTATTCTTTGCACTGAAGACTTAGGATATTTATTTGCTTGTTTATTTATTTATTTATCTTTTTTAAGGGGGGGACAGGGTTTCTTTATATAGCCTTGGCTGTTATGGAACACTGTAGGCCAGGCTGGCCCCGAATTTGGAGACCTGCCTGCCTCTCTGTCCTGAGCGCTGAGATTAAAGGCGTGCACCACCACTGCCTGACGATTTAGAAAGCTTTAATAGGCTTTCACTTAGACCAGTGTCAGATAGGTTGTTAATGGCAGTAGGGAAATGGAGGTGGAAAGTGATCAAGAATGAAATTAGAAATTAGTGGAATGTGAGGAAGTAAAATCTACATCTCTGGGAAGGATGAACAACAGCGGCGGGGGGAGTTCAGTGGCCTAGAATTGAAGGGATATTTGTGTTTAGCGTGGTGGATTCTATGAGAAAGATAAGAAAGCATTTGTTCATGTCAGAGAGATAGGAAAGGGAAAAAAAGAAAGGCTTATAACTCAAGAAAGAATGACTAGAAGAAACAAAGTCTGAGAGGAAAAGAAGGTGGGTAAAACAAGCTTTAGTGGAATTTGAGCTTAATTGTGTTTTATTAGGAATATATATATATATATATTATTTTATAAACATGAGTTTCATTTTGATGTTTTCCAACTCATTATCTCTTGTCTCCCTCCCCATTGTAACAGCTCCCATTTTCCTCCTATATTACAGTTTCTACTTTCATGTTTTGTTAAGCTAGATTTTGTATGTGGGAGAAATATGCAGTACTTGTCTTTGTAAGTCTAGTTATTTTACTTACTATGGTTATCACCAGTTCATTCATTTTTCTGCAAAGGTCATAATTCATTCTTCTTCATAGCTGAATAATACTCCAGTGTGTATATATGCCACATTTTTCATCCATTCATACTTTAATGTGTACCTAGACTGATAACATAACTTGGCTATCTTGTGCACTCAAGCAATGGGCATTGGTATGTAGGTATCCCCAGGGTTTCATGTCATTAAAGTGGTAAAAACGAAACCTGTCAACTGGGAACTTGGTGCAAGTTTTTGCCAGTCGAAAAGCAGGAATTCTAGCACAATTATCAACTGCCTAAGGTCATCTCCTCCCCAGCCATAATCCTGTGGATTTTCTAGGAGTCTTATCTGAAAGCCCATTGCAGGAAAGTTACATGGTACAGCCCTAATGATTTCTGTTTTGTTTTTTTTTAATTTTTGTTTTTTATGTAAGACATCTCTGGAGCCACCTCTTGTTTCTCTTTTATCAAAAAAGAAAAAAAGGGAGGAGATCTTAATAGCCTTTTGAGATGTAGCTCAAGTCACTAGTGGTGTGTGTGTATGTAAGACAACTGCTCATGCTCCCTTAAGGAGAATGCACTCAGGGGCATCTTACTTTCCACTCTTTCCTCATGAGAAGTGCGTACCCCGACCTGGGCATGCACCATTTCTTCTGAGCACACCTCATTCTCACAGCCATAGTGCTTAAGCCTATATTAAAACTATCACTGGACAAGTTTTGGCTCTACTTCACTATCTATTCTGGCTGTTCTCCTTCGTATCAAAACCACGATTCGGCGCAAGTTGAGATTCTTAAAAGTCTAGGAGAACACCTCGAGCTGGTGAGGGTAGCTCTGTGGAGCTACCACCACCGACACCCAATATAAGTTAGTTATATACTAACTTCTACTCCTTCAAGTATATACCCATGAATGGTTTAAGAAGATCATGATAATTCTAGTTTGTCTCATGAGGACCCTCCATGGTGGGTTCCATAGTGGCTGTACTAGTTTACATTTCTGTCAGAATACATGGTTTTCTTTCTCCTACATTCTTCTCCCACCCCCAACTGCTGTCTTCTTGATGATGATTCTGATTGAAATGAGACATCTCAGCACAGTTTGTATTTGAATTTCCTTTATGACTAAGAGTGTTTGAACATTTAAAAAATATCTATTCTTTGGTCACCTATATTTCTTCTTGTGACAGTGATCTGAGATAGGTATGGTGATCGATACTGGTGATAATCTCAACATTTGGGAGGCAGAGACTGGAGGACCAGAATTTCAAAGTCATAGCTATACATGGAATGGAAGCCAGTCTCAAAACAAAACAAACAAAACAAAACTAAACTAAACGAAACGAAACAAAACAAAACAAAACAAAGCAAAACAAAACAGCACCAACAAAAGCTAGACCATCACCGTACCTGAACTACACATCTTTAGAGACCCACCCTTACAGACCACTTCTAGTAACTAAGCTCTCTCCCTAAAGGTTGGAGATCGGCTGTTCAGACATAAGAACCTGTGAAGAAAGTTTTGGATTCACACCACAGCACTTTGCCCCTGATCCTCATAAGCTAACGACAGTCTCATAATGCAAAACTGATTTAGTCCTTACTGCCCCTTCCCAGAGAGCCAGGGCGATAGGCAAGGGTGTTTTCTACTTTTTCTCTGGGTAGCCTTTCTGCTTCTCCATGCTTTTCAGAGGCCCTATGCTCCTCTCTTTCTTCATGATATGGCCATCACACAGAGGAAGCTTCTAATCAGCCATATTACCCCAAAGTCGAGAGTATTCCTTTAATAGCGAAGGAAATTTAACTGAAGTGGGGAGGGGAAGAAATGAATATAGACAATGTACATTTATAGATAAGAAAGCGAAAGCAAAAGAGACATCAGTTTCCGTTAAGATGAAGGCTTCCTGTGACCCTTTGAGTTATCTCTTTATTCTCCCACTCAGTCCAGTCTGGCTGCTAAGTGGAAGAAAAGTCTTCCTTTTTTCCCAAGGGCAGGGCCTGGGAGAGTGGGAGGGTATTGCAAACAAACACACACACACACACACACACACACACACACACACACACGTATGCACACACACATACGCACGTATGCACACACACATACACTTCACTAAGGGATGCAATGGGACATGACAGAATGAACTTAGGCCTCTGAGAGTCACAAACATGAACTTCAGTCCAACTCATTCCACTCATGCTGCATTCTTGGGCGAGGCATGATCAGAGCCTCATTTTCCTGAGGTAATAAAGCCACCTGGCAAGGGCTGTTGTGAAGATCAGAAAGAACACACTTGAATGCATCTGCAATCTCCGTTCTTCTCTTTACTCTTCTCTTAGCCCTCAGCTCACTGTAGTCTCAGTGAGTTTAAAGACAGGAGGTACCATAGGTTCCTGTCTCTGGATATTTCTCAGAAACACCAAAAAGCACCAAACTCCCATTCTGATAGTTGTCATTAGAGTCTATAGACACCCAAGCTATTCTTTTTCCTGCAACTAGGCACATTTTTTTCCCTCGAGATAGATTGCTACATGTCCCCTCTGTGCCACGTTGCTTAACTTGGTCATTGACCTTGCCTTCAGTTCTACACGAGGATATTGGGCATGACAATGAGGTTTATGTAGCAAGCATTTGCTGAGGACTCCAGACTGTTGTGCGATAAGAGAAGCTGCTGGGAAGCTGATCTTTAAAGAGGAAGTACTGCAGCTGTTGGAGGGTGTACAGATATTCCCCTTCTGGATGCTTCTCTGCTTACTCCTTGACCTGTGTGCACATGGCAGTGTTCTGCTGACTTGCTCTAGTAGAAATGCCCTTGAGCATAACCTGCCTCAGTATCTCATATTCCAGAATGAGTCACAGAAGTGTTTACTCAGTTGAACATAAGATCACACACACACACACACACACACACACACGTATGCACACACACATACATATGTGTACATGTATATAGGAACTTTCCCCAATAATGGACCTGCGAGAACTTAGTAATGCTCTTAAATAGTCTTAAACTATTCCCCTTCCTCTTGAGATAAGATGAGTGTCCTTCAAGCCACCTAAATTCTTGGCTTTTGATCTGTGACAAGTACTTGGAACAATGCTTTACATATCTGCCAGGAACATGTAATGACATTTAAAATCAGTAAAAGAGCACCTAAACACCAGAAACAAAGACAACCTTTTATGCTGTGACCGAGAACACCTGAAGCCAGCTTTGCAAACTGCTGTCCCAGGCAAAGGTGTCTGCCCCATGTGTGACAATGAACAATCTGCTGGGGTGTTCCTTCCTGTCTTTGGAGCCATCTTTTCTTGACTGAAGAGTTCATGTGATTAGTTTGTTCTCTGTGTAGTCTCTTGTATGGTTTCATTCTGGTGCACTTTGCCCCTACTTGCGTCATTCTTCACACTTCCCTCTGTCTCACGTCTTTCTTTTTTTCCTTCCTCCCTCCCTCCCTTCCTTTCATTTTGCTTTGCTTATTTAGTCTCTCTCTCTCTCTCTCTCTCTCTCTCTCTCTCTCTCTCTCTCTCTCCTTTCTTTCTCTTTTGAAGAAAGGGTATCGTGTAGCTCAAAACTGATTTCAAACACAATATCTAACCAAGGCCAGCCTTGGATTCTTGAGCGACCTACTTCTGCCTTTAGAGCACTGGAATTATAGCATGTAGGAACATGTGCGACTTTATTTGCTTACCATACGTTGTTTAAATTTTTTTTTTCCTGAGAAGACTTTTTTTGGACTTTCCTCCAAATTTAAATAAGAGCTTCTTGTAAGGACCCCAAATTACACCATTTCCTTTGCTTTCTCAATACTATTTCAATTATTACACGTCTCTATGTATTTTTGAGGTTGCTTATTTAACCACTCTCTGCTTTTCTAGGGTTACTTTCAGAGGCAGAGGACTATGTTCCTTTTTCTCACTTCTAAGTCCCTAGTGTTTAGCGCACCATCAGGCACTCAACAAATCCCGGCTGAGTGGATAGATGGATAGATGGACGGCTAGTCTGCCTAAAGGCCATTCTCTTACCCTGCTGGTGGTTCAATGCTGAACTGGCCAGTGGAAGGAATGTGGTCATGGCAGCCTTGGTCTCCTTTTCCAAAACTTTTCACTGGGTATGTGATTCTACTCTGGCCAGCAAGAGGTAAGGAGAAATTCATCTTAGTAAGGGACCAAGAAGATCCGCTGAAGACTTCGAGTTGGTTTTTTCCATATGCATGGTGTTTTTCTGTTTCTGCGCACCACTGGATTTTGCATATATTATAGAAACTGCTGGAATGAAGCCAGCATAATGTAACCTAGCAGGGCCAGCCTGCTTCTAGGGAAATATTGGGGCTGGCCAGCAGCCTTGGAGCTGCCCCATTTATGTACCTCTGGTACCTGGGATTGAAAACCACAATGACTTGGCCATGAGGTCTCCAAACACTCGGCTGCAGATGTTGTTTCTTTGTTGTTATTTCTTTTTTTTTAATTTCCTTTTTAAAAACTATCTTTTCTTATTTTGCATACCAATCCCAGTTCCCACTCCCTCCCCTCTTCCCATTCCCTCCACCTTTCCCCTCCCACCCCCATCCACTTTTCAGAAAGGGTAAGACTTCCCATGGGGAGTTAGCAAAGTCTAGGGCATTGCTTTGATGCAGGACCAGGGCCCTGCCCACTATATCTAGACTGAGCAAGGTATCCCTCCAGAGAGAATGGATTCCCAAAAGCCAGTACAAGCAGAAGGAATAAATCCTGGTCTCACTGCCAGTGGTCCCATTGTCTCCCCCACTCAAACAATTGTCACCCACATTCAGAACGACTAGTTTGGTCCTATGCTAGTTCCTTTATTGTCAGGCCAGAGTTGGTGGGCTCTCATTAGCTCAGGTAAGCTGTTTCAGTGGGTATCCCCATCATGGTTTTGACTTCTATGCTCGTATTCCTCCCTCACTTTGACTAGACTTTGGGAGCTCATCATAGTGATCTGCTATGAATCTCTACCTCTACTTCCATCAGTTGCTGGATGAAGGTTCTATGGTGATATTTAAGATCAGATACCAATCTGATCTTATCAATCTGATATCAATCAGATATCAATCTGATTACAGGGCAAGGCCAGATCAGGTCCCCTCTCCACTATTGCTTAGGGTCTTGGCTGGGGTTATCCTTGTGGGTTTCTGTAGTGTCAGGTTTCTTGCTGGCCCCATAATGGCTTCCTCAATTAAGATATCTTTTTTTTTTCTCTCAATATCTGTC